GAGAATGTTATTTTACTTGCTATTTAAAAAAATTTGCTTTGGAACATCTTGATAAAATAAAAACAATGTTTCTGATTTGGAATGCATGAAATATGTACCCCCTTTGTCATATTAATTTTTATTATTAAAGAAATGAGAATATTCAACAAACTGTCAAGTGGACAATGTGGAAAAAAAATCCATGAATTCAGTAGAAATGATTTTGATATTAAGAAATAACACCAAGGACCTCCCTGGTGGCACAACAGGTTAAAGTGCAACACTGCAAGCTAGCCACACCTGTGTCACTGTGAGTTTGATCCCCAGCCCCTGAGGTGACCCACATGGCACACAGACCTCTGATTTTTCACTTGCCACTCCCATCAGCAGTGTACTTTGTGTGTCTTCCTGTTTTGCTCCCCACTCTGTCTCTGGGGAATCCTCTCACTGCCCCTGAACCTCTGGCCTGTACCCCAACCTGTGTGCATAAATATATAAATCTTAAAAGAAAAAAAAGGAATAACTTACTATTTCAAAAATACCCCAAATTAAAGTGGCATAAATGAACTACAAGTATCTTTTTCCCCCCTTTTTTTGGTTCTAAGAGAGTCACAGAGTCCACAGATAACATATGGCTTCCACTCAGGGCTGTTCTAGTTCCTACTGTCCCCAGAGATCAAGAGGAATTCAGAGGTTCATTGTCCAGAACTTTGATTGAGGTTCTATCTAAATGCTCAAGAGTTTGTGCAAATAGAGACTTTAGGTTTGCTGCCTTTTTTCCACAGTGAAATTAATCCTATGAGATAAAAGCATATTGGCTATGGGAGAAAATCATCAGTGTGCCCCATGGGGATAAAAAATACAATTTTTCCAGTTAGTCTCTCTTCTTTGCTTACTGTGAATTTTAAGCTGCAAAATAGTAGCTTATTTTTATGCTCAAGTATATTGATCTTTTTATAGTTAAAACTATAAATTTTAGAAGTGATTGTTGTCACTTCTAAAAGTACCTTTATCATTCTATGATTAGCTTATGAACATCTGGTATTTCTTCAAGTAAATTTTATGGGAGAGATAGCAGGATTCCCTGTTGTTTCTCCTTCTTCTTCCATGTCTTATTCCACTTTTCCAGTTGAGATTTAGAATCTTCAATTATTAGTTTATCAGAAGAAATAAAGTATGATACCAGAAAGAACTGTTACAGTCCATGTATTTGGCATTATATGTCCACACACATTCCAGTTTTAACATTTTCTAAAATCTATTCCATTAATGTGCTTATTCTTCATAGTCAGGTTTCAAGATATGTTGAACCTCACTTATATGTGCACTGTATTTATATCCTGAATCCATTACATGTTGGAATTTAAAATGAACTGGCAGTGTGTAAGGAAGTACATGTAGTTTAAGGAAAGATACAGGAAAGAGAGCTTGAAATATTCGTAAAATTGAATTAATAATTGAAATAAGAGTAATATACTTTGTAAAAGGTAATTTAATGACTTGGAAAATTTAATTACAGTTCTCTGATTAAATTAAAGTGTCACAAAACATTGGTATCATCAAAATTGATTTGTGAGCACCACTGCAATTTTACATTGATGAAGCTACAACAGGAGAAGAAATACTTTTGTCCTCCAGTAAAGAGTCAAAGGAGTAAGGTTGTAGACCTCCCTGGTGGCACAAGTGATTAGGTAGCAGTGCTATGAAACTCTCAGCAGCCCTATGAAGTTATCTGTAGCCCAGAAGCACAAGTTTGATCCCTGGCCAGGGAGCTAAGCCTCGTGGCCCAGCAGAACTTCCCTGTCTCACTCATTGCTCCCCTAACAGTATATTTCTGCCATTCTGCCTGTTCTGCTCCCCACTCTGTTTCTGGTGAATCCGCTCACCTCCCACACCTCTGGCCTACACCCCAGCTCTTGTGGTTCACCCCCTGGCAGAGATCCAGTGGGTGCCACAGTGGCTGCAGATAACTCGATAGTGCTGAGGTGTCACCAGGGAGGCCCTGCTTTCAACTCCTTTGACTCTACACCGGGAAGTGAAATTCATGAATCAAATGCTAATTTTACTGTTCTCTATAGTGTCTGTAACATATTACTGCAGTGTACAAGGATTCAAATTTCTCCACATGCTTGTCAACACTATTTTCATTTGGTATTTTATTGTGGTTTTAGTTTTCACTTAGCTAATAATTAGTAATATCATACACTTTTTATGTCCTTATTGAGTATATATGTTATTTGAAGAAATGCCTGGTAAAGCCTTTTCAACACTTTCTAGTCATATTATAGGGTTGCTTTTTTTTTTTTCATATTGTTGATTCATTAGAATGATTTATATATTTTGAAGATTAACTCCTTTATGTATAATTTTCAAATTTTTTTTATTGTGTGGGTTGCCTTTTCACTCTGTTGCTTATAGATTTCAATTAATAATAGTCTGATTTTATGTAGTACAGTTTATTATTTCACATGTTGTTTTGTGGTTTTGTTGTCATTTCCAATGAATCACTGCCAAATCCAGTGTTACGAACCTTTTATAATATCTGTGTTCTCTTTTCAGAGTTCTGGAGTTTTAGATCTTACATATAACACTCATCCATTTTGAGTTAATTTTTGTATGCGGTATAAAGGTCCAACTTCATTATTTTGCATGTCATTATCATTTTTATAACACAATTTGCTGAAAAGAATTATGCTCATATTTTTTGCATGTTCTTAAGTTCTATCTTTTAATACAATGTAAGATAAAAAAATCATCCCTTCATGCAAATGACTTGTTTTTTATACAGAAATTTTTAAATCAACTTTAGAGTTAAACAGCTCACTTGTATAGAACTTAATTTAAGACTTGTGCTTCAGTGACACACCAATTATTGCCATAGATGATACTCTGATCTCTCAGCTCTCTTTGCTTCCATGGCCCCTAACATTGAAGTATTAACAGAATGAGAGAAGGAAATGACATATAGATTGATAGGTATGTAGGCAGACAGGCTGATGATAGACACTTGTATTATTAATTAGTATTGCCCTCACCATACATTACTGAGAAATCCGAAACCACATAGTTGTATAAAGTCTGAAGACTGGACTTAAGTGATCAAAATCAATAAAAATAAAGATCTTTTTTTTTTTCAGACAAAAATACCTCATTTGAATTTTTCATTGAATATTTTTCAATGTTTTTCTTAAAAAGAAACAAGTACCATTTCTTTTCATTATGTGTAGATTATCACACAGAAGGTACTGTATCTTTTGGGAACATGCAAGTCACTGGGTCCTCTTTCGTATCCCTTTGCTTTCATATCACTTCTGCTTCTATTAGAAATGCAGTATTTGAGGGAGAGTAAGGAGATGAAATGGGCAGTGTTCCAGAATTCACTAAGTAAAACAGTAAGTCATACAAAGCTCAGAATGCCTAGGAAAATGCTGCCGAAGTGGAACACACTCAGTGTTTGGACCGAGGCATATGGGAAAGAGCAAAGATTCTGTAGAAAGGTTCCTAAGTAGAAGTGGCCCTGTGAATGATAGTGTAGCATGTGTGCAGTAATAGGTATTTGTATGGAGTGTTTCTTAGTGGAGACATAATATATTTTGAGAACATAGTCCTTTGGAAGGTCCAGACAATAGGAAATTGATTAATCCGGACAATTAGGTGCATATTTTGAAATGAGAGAAATAGACTTATTGAAAACACTTCCTAGTGTTGATGGGGACAATGTTACAAAGTGGCAGAAACCTAGATATTGAACATTAAGGTCAATAAGATATGGACTCTCACTCTCATCAGTCCACTTGTTGGCCATGGATTAGTTAATCTATAAAATGGCAGGAAGCATAATTAGAGTAAAAAGAAATAGTCAAATTTCAGTAAGGGATGTAAATATCACTGTACAGTTCCTGACCCAAAGATCGATGACAGTTGGCATTCATTGTTATAAATTTCAGACAATTTACAAGAATTTTGGCAGCATTGTTGCAAACTGCATTATATATGAACTGATCCTTTAAGTTTACAGTCACAAGCAAGCACAATAAATCTTTATTGTCGACAAGTACAAAAAGACAATCATACTGACCATCAAACAGAAGTTCAAACAGAACTTCATACAAGACTGAAAACTACTTTACAAAGTAGTCACTAAAATTAGTATCCATTTTTCTTTTTACTTTTTTTTTTTTTAATGCATACAAGAGGTGGCCTGAGGTGCAGAAGGTTAAAAGGATTCACCAGAGACAGAGTGGGGAACAGAAAGGCAGATTGACTGAAATACACTGCTGAGGGGAGCAGCAGGCAGGTCAGGAGAGTCAGGAGAGGTCTGCTGTGCCATGTGGGTCAGCTCCCTGGCCGGAAATGGAATTCATGCTACAGTGGCTGATGAGAGCTTCGTAGTACTGAGACTTATGCCCTTGCACCACCAGGGAGGCCCAGTATCCATTTTTAAGCAAGTGTCAGTTTTTAGATAGCATAATATAAAAGTGCTAAAGGATAAGTCCAATTGACTCGAACTGTTCCTCCCTATATGTGCTGTTTAAATGTCTGATTTTCAAAGTTTCATTTACACATTTCATTTTCATCTTTTGAAGTATTTTCGTTTTATATTTTGTCTATTATTTGTAATCCTTCAAACATGTCCGTAGAACAGTTAGCTAATCTTCGTCTGTTAAAAGTATTAGAACCCAAGAATTTCAATTTATAAGGCTTATATCTTGATAAAAATTAAAGTAAGCAAACACCAGAACTATTAACATAAACGATAAAGGAATCTGTGTCACTTTAGTGAGTGGCAGTCTCTTACCTTTATTGAAGAGTTCTTGGGTAAATATTAATATTTAATCACCCAGTATCACTAACACCACTACTTCAACAATTATCTTTAATGTATAGTAAATGTTGTAAGATGAACTTCACATTTGATAAAGCAGATTTGAAAATAAGTTTACAAGGATAGCTGCCTCCATTTCAACACCATTTTAAACTCAGGGAAAATGAATATCACCTCTTGTGACTGCTGTTGATAGTCAGGAGCGTAATTGCAAATGCTGAATTATCTTATGCCCAGCGTGACTTCTGCTCCTGCCATTGAAATCAGCAATGAAGACAATGAAAACAATTCCTGAAACTACTCCTGGAATGGCAGTAGAACTCAAAGTGTTCTCTTCATCTCGTTGGCATTCTTCCACATATCAACACTGGCTGCCTTCATATTTGAAAACCTGGATTCATCTAGCCTTTGACTGTGTTGATGGACAGGCTTTTGTAACCTGAACTTTTTCCCTCAGAATGACATTTAACAAGAACCCCTAATAGTGACTTGGAAAGCTCTTAATGACTCATGGAAATTTTAAAGATGGGATCTCTGGCATTGTGTAGAGTTTATTTAACTGGATCTTTGTGGAAAAACAGGCTAGAATTTTCATTTGTTCCAAAACTGAAGATGATAAAAATAGCATTTTCACAGGAGAGTTCCAGTGTTGCTAAATGAGCATTTACAGCTCAGTGGTCATATGTGGGTTGATATCATATGCTTTTGTCACAGTTGTCTCATATCTTTTGTCGTAAGTGACAATAAGTTGTCAGCTCACCCTACAAGCAGACTGATTCATTTTTTTATTTTCATATCGTATTTATGAGCAGATGGACTTTCTGGGGAACTAGAAGACTTTGACCTTGGATTTGTTCTGGGGAAAGTTTCTAATTTTTTACTGAGCATTTCATTTTTTTTTTTTTTTGCCGAAATTACTTGAAATGTATTCTTGGATAGTTACTTTGAGCAGTTTAATAGATAATCCTGTATGTCTGTTTTGTTTTTTTTTTCCCGACATGTTTATATATTTGTCATCTGTGTCTGCCTTGACATCACATATAGATTTCACAATGTTTGTTCCTTTTGAGCTTGCTCTGGGAGAAAGTTTTGTCTGACAAGTTATAGACAAAACTTAACAGTGGGTGGTGTTTGTAAGGTGTTGTGTTCTTTATAAAGCTAAGGGCCACTGTGTATTCTCCAAAAGCAATAGCGGTACAAACATCCGAACCATTCTTTTTACCGCAATTACCACATAATACTTTTGCATTAGCTAGTGAATTTCCAGTCACATTGTTATCTCCATATTTGGTCAGATAGTTCCTCAAAAAGACAGCTTGAGAAGTCATCCATTTCTGAAAACTGCTCAGTAGTCATTTTTACCACAAAGCCTGAAAATGTACTAGGAATCCATCCTTGAAGTAGCTGAGGTAGTTGCCTCCTGTCAGAGGCATGAGGGGTGTGGCAGGACACCCAGGATGGTTTCACCTGAATGTCTGCCATCTGCCTACATTTGAAATTGAAGGCATAAGCAAAAAGACTGGTAGCCTGGGATAGGACGTGCTAGGAAAGGAAGTGTTACAGCAAATTCAAGATATTCGCTCTTGCTCGAACTGCAGTCCAAACAGAGTCCTGGTTTTGTAGACAGTTTTTTTTATCCTGTAACTACCCAGTGAGATCCCTGTTGTGTGATTTTGCTATCATTTTCAAACTTTCAGACTTACATAAATCTTCTGGTCCATTGTGACTGAGTGAATGAGATTTCCCTTTATGACCAGAACCTACCATTTGGCAGTGTACCCTACTGAAGGGCTCAATTATCCATTTGCCCTTTGATCGAGCCATTGACAATAATGAAGTGGTTCCTGCAACAGCATTTTTTTTAAAGATTTATTTATTTATTCATACAGAACTGGGGTACAGGCCAGAGATGCGGAGGGTGAGAGGATTCACCAGAGACAGATTGGGGAGCAGAACAGGCAGATCAATGAAGCACACTGCTGAGGGGAGCAGCGGGCGGGTCAGGAGAGGTCTGCCACGCCATGTGGTCACCTCCGGGGCAGGCAGGGATCGAACTCATGCTGAAGTGGCTTAAGCTTCTTAGTGCTGCACTTTAACCCGCTGTGCCAACAGGGAGGGCCGCAACAGCATTTTTATGCTTCTCCTAACTCCATTAGTCATTCTAGAAGTAAACTCTGACACAGATTTTAGTTTATACAGTGGTTATTAAGACATGAAATGGTTACCACACCCTGTGTAAAGGCTGGGGAGGAAGGAGAAGGCAAGTTGTCTGTGATAGTGGCCTCCACTGTCACCATAGGGGAGCTCTGGAGAGTGAGGATCATTGTGCACTGGGCCTGAAAGTCCAGTACTTTACACTCTTGCCTCCAGCAGTCATTGGATTTGGTCTGACTTAGGAAGGGTATAACCTTGAAAAATGTGTCTCTTTACTGTAGCAGCGTTCTCTGAAGTAGATGATAGGTGGAAGCTGGGGCAATATATCCTTCCTTGAAGAGGGACCCTGGAGGTCCATTGCATTCATCTCATAAGTAGTACTACAAACATTTGACATAACAAAATATAGGCTGACTTGAAGATGCACTGGTTTTTGTTTTCAAAGACATTTCACAAACTACATTCTTTTGACTTTCAATTAAAAAATAGTCTCCTTTAGTTTAGAATTAGAGGCATGTTTTATTATCCCTGCTTTATTTTCTCTTAATATCTTTATTGATCTAGTGATATAAACAGATATTGACATCCATGATGGTAAATCTATCCCTGATGTTTCCTCCAAGGATATATAGTTCCAGTCCTTTTATTGATGATGACCTAAAAATAATAGCAGACAAAAATAACAATGCTATGACTTAGTTATAATTAACATGTCGATTTGCTTTTGAATTATATGCTATATTTGTGTGACTTGGTAGAATATGTTTTGGAATATATATTTTCCTTTCTTGAATAGGACTGTCTGAATATTGCTTTTGTTATTCATGCAATACTTATTAGCAAATGCTAGACTAAGGTAGGTGCTTTATAGACCTATTTATATAAAGCTGTTGTCATGGTAACTAAGTGCTTCTCATTTAAAAAACAGACCAGGTTGGGGAGGGAGGCAGGGAAGAAAGGGTATTGGCCCAAAGAATCCTTGGCCATTTTAAAAGCCTGTTTGGTACGAGTGGAAAGTGACATATTTCTCCAGTCTCTCAGAATTTCCTGTAGCTGTTCCTGAATCACGTTATTAAAGAACCCATCAATTGGCAAAAAATTAGCTTGTCTTAGGGATTCATAATATTTTATGTCATAGAAGTTCTTATATATTTGCCAAATACTATGCTCAAAATAGGAATAAATATAACAGTTGAACAAAAATCACTATACTTTTTTGCCAAATAGAAATATCAACCCAATATCATGTAATATTTAAGAAAGAGGGTAAAAATCTCTTGGCTCTGTAAAATAATACCTCTAATGAAAAGAGTCCATTCCCTTTTAATTAACTTAAACTTATAAATGGATGGCAAGTTATTAATGTAGAAAAAATCTCACTAACCAAATGTTGCATGTTAAAATGTATTTTGACATTTGGAACAGGATACTTTAATTTGGTAATGGCAATCGTGAAGGATTTTTGAAGGCTGAGGAAATTATTTGAAGTTTTCTCAAGCAATGAAATCAACTGTGTGGCAAGAAATGGGTTGTTTCCTCTGGTGTACATGATAGGACCATCATAATGTAGTTAATTCTTATGAGATAGCAGTTGAAGCAAGTCATTCTGTTGCAAATGATTTTTTATAAAATGTCTGAGAAAAGGTCATAACATTATTAGTATGAGGAAAAAAATCATTAGGAGCCCATTACAGAATTACCTAGCAAGAATTGGCTTTATTTCCACAGAAGTATTTTTCCTATCTTCTCCATATGTGAATGAGTTAGGATTTGAAGCTACTTGTAGTTTGAATGTTGCTCCAAAACACTTAAAAGAGTTCCATCTATTGATACATGACCTCATAAATGGAACCCAAAGGCACTGTGCTTTATTTTACTTTAGGCTAATTTGATTTACATTTTTGTTAGTTAAAGTGATGATGTTTATAAAGAAATAGCTATTTGTTGACAATGTATCATAGCCAAAGTTTGTTTGGATTCTGTTAGTCTTATTTTTCACTATAATAAATTTATTAAGAAACTCATTATCAAAGTGAGATTTTTGGGTAATTTACATACACATACATATATTTACAAGTGTGTATATGTGTATTTCTCAGAGTCCTGTCTCACTTGATAGTAAGCCTTTTGTGACACTTGTGAGATAATTTTTGTAGCACATTCAGAGTTGCAAAAAATAAATACTTTAAGGATGTGGGAAGGCTAGGAAAACACATGATTCATAGAGCTATAATATTTCTATATAAAATACTTAATATACTCCCCATATTTTTTACCATTATTTAGAATATGTCTTGCGATAATCAGTAACTGTCTGCATGGGAACACCTGATTATACCTGCCAATTTTAGTGTCATGCAGTATTCTGTCATGCCAGGTATATCAGTTATGTATAAATCAAAACAGATTTTAGAATCTCAGAGAAACATGATTTCCTGCCTCACACCAAGTCTGTGTAGCTAACCTCCACGTGCCTCAGGGATGCACCTCCAAATTGACATTTACTTTCACGAGTAACTGAGCAGAGGAAGGGCAAAATCATGAATGACTATCCTAAATTCTGTTTGTATTTTGTTGGTCAAAGTAAATCATGAAATCTCTAAGTTCAGTTGAGTGGGACATTTAAATCTGCTGTGGTCCTGCAAAGAGGAAACATTGGAAATACCTGAGAAAATCCACTGCTTCACACATCTGCCATCTTTAATTTCACTTGAACACACCCTTTATAGTATTTTCTAGGAAAATGGAAATTAATGTTATTCTTCTAAATATAGTTATTAAAGTATTAGTTGTACTAATATTTAATGAAATTACAACCTTCAGTCATTTAATTCTGACTAATTTTTGTTGAAGTGATAATGCAAAAGACCAAAATTCTTTTTGAAGTAGATACACAAATCATTAACAGATTTTTTTTTACATGAAATGCCTACTTTGTTCTTCACTGTATGTACTGTTGTGTATTTAATCAACTGTGATAGGCTTACTGTAAACAAAGGACCCATTAACTCAGACAGCCTCAATTGCTACTTAACAGTTCCAACTTTAGATATGCTACTGAAGCTCTTTGCATCTTAGAAGCTCTGTTTTAAAAATAATAATCATGTGAAGATTAAACAAAGTGCTAAAAATGATCTGTTAAGTTAAAACATGAAAGTCCTGCAATATGAATTATGACAACTGGTTATACATTATGAAATTGTCTGATTCCTATACAAGTTTGTGGCATATGAACTTGAAAAAACATAACCTACTTAGGTAGTTCCTTTGTCTCAGACAAACTGTCTCTCCTTATGTAATGATAGAATGGTGTTCTAGACAAGAAATAAATATAAATCTTGTGTATAATAATATTAGCTCCAAATTTTTGCTTTCTTATTAATCAAGTATAGGTAACACCAGAAACTTAACATATTATCTCCCTCCCTCGGTGCCCAGAAAAAAAAAATTGAGGTTCATTTTATTGTCTGATTTACTGATTAGAAAATTGCAATTCTTCAGTATAGTTCAAGTACACAGTGAAATGGTGAACAACTTTTTTTTTTTTAATTTATTTATTCATACAGAACTGGGGTACAGGCCAGAGATGTGGAGGGTGAGAGGATTCAGCGGAGACAGAGTGGGGAGCAGAACAGACAGACTGATGAAGTACACTGTTGAGGAGAGCAGCGGGTGGGTCAGGAAAGGTCTGCCACCCATGTGGATCTCCTCAGGGGCAGAGGGGGATCGAACTCATGCGGAAGTTGCTTAAGCTTCTTAGTGCTGTGCTTTAACCCGCTGCACCACCAGGGAGGGTCTAGTGAGCATCTATTTATTGCTAAAATGCCTAATTATATTTTTCAACAGAAGAAACCATACTAAAGTCAGTGTTTAAGCAGGACTTAGATTCTAAAATCAGAGAGCAATGTGGAAAACTAGTGCAGCTAAAATTATGTTTGATAATCCTTAAACTAGGCCAAATAATCTACACACACACACACACACACACACACACACATGCTATAAACTATAGCATCACCAGAGGTTCATACTCATAGATTTATACTAGGTAAGAGCGGAGCTTAACAGCCAAAACCCCCCAGAAATCTGAAGACCTTTTCTCCTGATTCCTTTAGGTAAATGGACATGTCTGGAGGAAATGTGGGTGTGCTTGATAGCTTTATTAAAGTTGATT